GCAGAATCAATTCTCTTAATGTGCTGAAGTCTATTAACTTTTTATATAAGCTGGCTAATTTCAAACTTCAAATAGAATTCAAGAAACCAATAGCAGCTTCAAGAGAAATCACTGATACATCCCAGTGCCACTACTTACAATATTTAGAATATACGTTCAGCCACAAAGAAATTCAATGCTACTTGTAAATTTAAGTATAACGTGTATCATCTTCGACTTAACTCCTTGCTTTGAAAACCATCGTTAAAATGTTAGTATTATCCATTTTTACCCAATGCTTTCAATAGATGAATACAAACCACAAAAATGACCAGCGCCTTAGAGTTTCCTATTTTTATTGAACAAAATAACAACAAAACGAAGTTATATAGTTAGTATAAACCCGTTCGGGTGTTAAAATGCTGTGAAATATCGAGTTACTCAAATATAAATAGTACGCTGGAAGACAGGAATAGAATTTACCCAGGAAAAAAACAACAACATTGTTCATAACTGGAGGCCTGTTCATTTCTCACCTGTATGTATTAAAAAAAACTTACGAATTAGTAAATTTAATCTTTACAATATTTTATCATTTCGGAGCAGAAAGCGTTATTATAGCCCGAATCCAAAAATGAGAGTTTACAGAGCTACTGACTTGAGAAAGCAAATGTTTGAAGGTAAATTGTAGCCTTATTTCGTTAAAAGAAACAGACCTAGAGAAACCATATCTTTAAAAAAAACCTACTTACATGACAGATAGTATAATAACACTTAATGCAGACTTTTAAATTTCTGCCATTTCCCTCACGTGATCAAAAAAGTACGCTCAAACGGACAGAACATTCATTTCGGATAAAACACAAATTAAGCCGAAAGAAATGCAATTAACAGAAATAGCAACGACAAAACATTTTTGTCTAGCTTTCCTCAAAGTGAAATTTGATTTTTGTGCATTTAAAATAAAATTCGAAATAAAACGCAAAACGCACCTAACGCCGCCGCCATCTTGCCGGACGCACCTGTGGTCACTCTGGAGAGGGGCTCGGCTCGTGAATGACAGCTGTGGACTCTTATACAGGTTCCCCCTGTTTGCTCGCTTTTCAAGCATTAGGATTACCAAGGCGCATCTGTTATGCGCTTTTCTGCGACTGGACATGACTTGTTTATCTTTTCGAATGACAGTGCAAAATAAAGAATCAAAATTTGCAGTAGAGTTGGGGGAGCCTGCATGTCGTGTGTCAGAAAAATAAAGTATTTTGAGTTCAACTGAATTGACAACAAATCATAAACGTTCAAATAAAGTTTCAATAAGGTAACTTTATCAATACTTCAATACAAAGAAGTATTTTTACCCTCGCATCCAGGAATAGAGTGCTTGAACTTTCCAGAGGGTTGGTTACTAGCAGTCTTGGTCACGAGACGGAAGGCGCTATATCTTGGGAACGAAAAGCAGGACAAACACAAGCGGTGGGTTTCAACGTTTGTGCCGTTTGCAGGGGGACCAACTTCACGGAATTCATGTAGCTTAAGAATCTTTGGTTCTTTCTGTTTTCTGGCGTCTTTTTAGGGAGCTATAAATAGGGCTGGGATTGAGCCAGGTTAGTATAGGTCTGGGGTTTCAAATGAAAATTTATTTTGCCAGCTAAATGTAAAACTATCGTGCAAGTACCCTCCTGCCCCAGGCTGTCAACATCACCTGGATGACGTGGTTTTCTGGAGGGAGGCCTTCTTAGAAGGATCAACATTGCAGGGGCTCATTTCAGGGATATCTTGGGTGAAAATGGGGGTCACAGTGATGCAGTGTCCCAGCTGCGCCCTTCATCACCGGTGCTGCCTGCTGCTATAACGGATCTGCTTGCCGGTTTAGGCTTCTCTCCAGGCCTGGGTTTTCAAGACCACCCCAGGGTTTTTTTTTTGCTCTAGCTTAATCCTGCATTGCAGCCCAATTTTTCAGTTCTTAAAATGACAGATAAGATTTTCGTTATGAGCCAATCGTTTTCGGTAATGGGTACAAACCCTGTGCTAGTGTGTGAGTTTCTGGACCGGGCTCCTTCAAATGTCCCGGAAACAGAACCTTACGCAGAATTAAAACCATCAACTCGCTGATCATGTGTGCTGCCTACTTGTGTCTGTTCATCAGCTGATGACCTATTTAGAGCTGCTTAGACAGAAATATGGGGGCAGACTGCACTGCGTTCTGTGATCTCATGCTGTTGTAAATATTACACTTTCATAAGGTATCTTTCAACAACATGGACCTGAGTGCAGGAAAATGTTTAATGCAACAAGCAGATCAGTTACAGGTACTAATGAGCCCTGGTGATGAAGGGCCCAGTTTGATCAAAAACCAGCAGAGAGCAACTGGTGTAAAATAAATGATGCAACATTAAAATGCTGTATTCAGTCTGAAAATGGCTGGAGAATGCAATATTTCACTGTAGCTTCTTTTCAGTGATTTATGTCAAAATTTCCAACCCGATTATCGTTACCGTAGGGCAGCACAGTAGTTCTGTAGTTGGCGTTACTGTCTTGCAGTGCTGGGGCCCTGGGTTGAGTTCTTGAGGTGTGTCTGTGTGGAGTCTGCATGCTCCCCCTGTGTTTGCATGGGTCTCCTCTGGTGCTCCAGTTTAGGTTATAGGTTAACCAGTGTGTATGTCTGTATCTTGCCCGAGATGGACTGGTGTCCTGTCCAGGATGCACTCTGTTGCTTGCTGGGATAGGCTCTGGCTCCCCCACGACCCTGAACTGGAAAAAGTGGTAAAAAAATCTGTAATGTCTACTGGAACCAATAGAAATAATTTATGGAACTAGTTCCATACCCACTGCTATGGAAACCCATGGCCACCAGATGGTGCGTTTGAGCTTCTGTGGCTGTTCTTGACTCCTTAAAGCTTTACCTTATCCTCTCCTGCACATGACAGCAGCAAAACAAGATGTTGTTTATTACACAGTTACACAGGGAGTCATGGGAACTGCTCAAATTAAATCGAAAACAGTCCTAATTTATAGGGATCGGCCCACGCACTTGGGCATCTGGTCTCTCTTTTTCCATCTCTGTCTCCATTATATAACTCGTTACTTCTGCTGTGTGTTCCACTGAGTGGAGCACTGGCAACACTGAATAGACTGTGCTCATTGAAGCGAACTGCGTGACCCAGAAGTGCTCTTCATTGTGATAAATAGCTCAATAGCTGCAGCCCAGGCCAGCTCTTTCTTGAGGACCTGATCGTTTTATGTGCCCACTTTTCCACAGTGACCGAATGCAGCTCTACAGTCTCGGCATGAATCTCAATGGGGTTTTTTGAAAGGCGACAGGCAGCGAGACGGACAGCTTTCCCCACGCACTGAACACCACCTCCTTCCAGAGACGCTCCTTTCTTTCGCCGCAGCGATCAGGACGCACGCTGAGCTGAACTGAACGCTGGCAACGAGGGGAGACTGCGGCTGCTGGCGTTCCAGAAGGACGGCGCTCTGTTTGGTACATACTGACCTGTTACAATCTAGATAGAGACGGCGACTGCCCCCATAATCGCCTAAAACAACAAACCTAGCCGTGTGTCATTGCTCATAAAGTACATATCTCTTTAGCACCCTGTTAATGAGTCCAATCCTGGTCTTGGGGCAATTTCCCCCGATTTAACAATTTCATTCCCAAACTTTTCGGTGGTGATGCTAAATGAGACAATTGTGGGAGGCACAGTGGCGCAGAGGTCAGCATTGCTGCCTTGCACCTGGGGTCAATCCTGGGCCACTTTCCATGTGGAGTTTGTATGCTCTCCCTGCGTTCATGTGGGTTTCCTCTGGGTGCTCCTGTTTCCTCCCCCAATCTGAAAGCATTTTGCCAAGTTAACTGGTGTCTGGCAAAATGGGGCCTGGTGTGTCCTTGTTTGTATCTGTGTGTTCTGCGATGTTCTCGCGTCCTGCCCGGTGTGTATCCTGCCTCATGCCCACTGCTTACCAGGACAGATCCCAGTTCCCCCCATGACCCTGAATTGGCCAATGCGGTTAGAAAATGAATCGTGGGCAATCTGTGACCAAATCATCCCCACCAAACGTAATGGTTACTTTCTCCTGTGTCTCAGTGAAAAGAGCTCTTTGCCTACAGGCATCCCCAATCGAACCACCAAGTTGCTGGGCTGGAGCCTTTTCAGGTTTTCATTTCTACTCAATTTTGGGAGATCTGTTAAACAACAGTTAAAAGCAAACACTCTTTATTATTATTATGCATGATTAAGTTATTAAAGGTTTAAATATTTAACTTTTGTTCACCCAGACTTATTATTTTGTGTTTTTCACAGATGTATTTGCTATTACAAGGACTTAAATTTAACACAAATTAAAAAAAAATAACACACGTAAAAAAAATAAAGCATTCAGCCTCTTTGACTACGCATGCTGTCCTGAAATAAATGTTTTTATTTTGTAATTAATGTATCAGAAATACACACGGTATTCACACATCAAAAGAAAAAGCACAAAATCCGGGTTTACGTTAACACTTAATTCTCTGTAACGCCCCGATGCCTTGTTCACCAGTATAACAAGCAGGTTTTCCGACATTCTGAAGTAGTGGCTGACTTTACTCTAAAATGCACAGAAACAGGCCCCTGCAAGAGTAAAGTACACATATGTACTGTATATAAAGAGTATCCCATCCATCCATTTTCTAACCACTTCCAGGTCATGGTCGAGGGGGAACTGAAGCAATGGGCACAAGGCAGGATGCACCGTAGAGGGGACCATCACAGGGCACACATAGTCACACACACAAACACATACCAGGGCCATGTTTGCCATACTTCAGTTAACCTACCAGTATGTAGCATACAAACCCCACTCAGATAGCACCCCAGGAACTGAACCCAGGGCCCCAGCTCTGTGAAGCAGGAGTGTTAAACACTGCACCACTGTGCTGCATGTAAACAGCATTCTTGAAATCCTTGCCCCAGACTTCTTTCCAGACTATCAGAGCCAAAATGTATCAGAAACAGAAAACACAACAAAAGCCGAAAGATGCATAAATATAGGACTTATTTTAATTAAGCATTGTACGAATTAAAAACCAGCTGAACTATAGATACCGTTTACTGTTGTGGTATATCAAATATACACTATAAGTTTAATATCAGAGTAAGTATGGATTGCTACACCAGAGCAACCAAGCAAAATTCATGCCAAAGCACCGATTATCTCCGAGTTCTCTGACACCAACATGGGCCACATGGTTTTTTCAGTTCCAGAGGCCTGAGGACGGAGGGCTCTCTGCCAGGTACTCAGTGCGGACCTATCCAGACACTAGTCCTCAAACTTGACAGATCTAGAGGCATGGGCGTCAATGGTGAACTTCTTGCTGGGAGCACCCTGGAATCCCAGCCCTGCTCCTGTCTGCTGAGGATTGAGCCAACGATTGTGAGCGCGCTCAAACTGTCCCAGCAACCCCTGGTTTAGCTGCCGCGCCTCGTCCCGGCCCAGAGCCATGATTGGCCGCTGTGGGCCGGCTCCGCCTACCGGGGCCAGTGATGGGCTGGACTTCTTGAACCCGCCCATCAGCCGGAGAAACTTCTTCTGCTGGTCTTCACTCTCGAAGCAGGTGGTGCTCCACTGTCCGAAACCCACCCCCTTGCTCTGAAACAAAAAAGAAACATACGTAGAATCTTTACAGATATTTTTATCCATTACCAGTACATCCAGGCAGCTACCCAAATCATAAGTTTAAGCAGCTGTGCTTCAGTTTTAATTTTTCATCTACTATAGGCGGTGGACAAAAAATGTAAACACCTGTGTAAATGACAGACACCAAATATTGAAAACAAGGGCTTCCACACACAGGAGTGACTTGCTCATTAAGAAAATAGCACCCCGGCATCTTTAAGGTTACGTATGAAACTTCTGAACAGGACAGGTTACCTACAATTAAGCCTATCTAGCATGACAGCAAGACCTCAGTGATTACGAAAAGAGGGGTGATTGTAGAGGTGCTTTTAGCAGGAGCTTCAGTGACCAGGACAGCGCCCTGCTCTTATGTTTCAAGAGGGATGGTGTGTGAGATGATGTCAGTATGGAACAACGAGGGAAAGACACCACCAGCAAAGGGCATCAGTGGGCAGAAGTGCTCCCTGCACGACAGATACTGACTTCCCTGCATTACCGCAAAGTGCAAAGCAAAACTGGAGAGCAGCTGACTGCAGGTTTCATGGGAATCGGATTGCCAAGAGCTCCGCAGAGCGGGACAGCACAGTCAGGCTGCACTGCACAGACCCCTCAGCTCACCCGGGAACGCATGTGTTAGAGGCACAAAGAGCTCAGGAGACGGATGAGCACTGGGAGCGGGAGCAGCACTGGGAGGGGGAGCAGCACTGGGAGGGGGAGCAGCACTGGGAGGGGGAGAAGGAGCAGCACTGGGAGAAGGAGCAGCACTGGGAGGGGGAGCAGGAGCAGCACTGGGAGGGGGTGGAGTATGTGATATTTAGTCATCCCTGCTGTAGGAGGGGGGCAGCGGTGGCACTGTGGCTGGAAGGTTGCCGGTTCAATTCCCGCGGTCGGCAGAGGAATCCTACTACTCCGTTGGGCCCCTGAGCAAGGCCCTTAACCCCAACTGCTCCAGGGGCGCTGTTTAAATGGCAGACCCTGCGCTCTGACCCCCAGCTTTTCTCCCTGTCTGTCTCTCATGGAGAGCACACTGGAGTATGCGAAAAGACAAATTCCTAAGGCAAGAAATTGTATATGGCCAATTCGGGAGCCCCGGCCGCAGACGTTAGAGTGACACGAATGTGCGCAGCGCTGAGGTGCAAGGAGCTGTGTAGCTGTTAGGAGAGGGCGAACACTGACCTTTGTCTTCTCTGTGGCTTGAGGGCGTGACTCTTCATCAATTGCATTCTGCAGAGCTTGCCGTCTCTCCTAAAACAAACATGTCTTAGTGCGCTTGCTTAGAACACAGACGGCATTTTCTATTGCAGTCTGTCGCAAAAATGCAAAAGAAAACACTGTTTCAAATAGAGAAGCAAATGAAAAACCACAAAGAGTGAGGTCAGCTTTGGCGGCCTCCTTGAAGGCAAGTAAGACTTCTGTGGGAGATGCTTTCATGACAGGAGTAATAGAGGAAAAGTCAATTTAGATACAAAGTTTGAATCTGAAGCAGGGACCTTCAAGCTGCAGTGGGGAAACATGGGAAACACTAGGTGGACCAGTAGGTGGCGCTCTTCTTTGTGGTCCAGAGTACGCAGTTTAATGCTCCCAGCATGGAGACTGGGGACTCTGTGTTCTAGGAGCTGCTCTCCTCTCAGATAGGACGTTAAACCAAGCTTATTAAAAATCTCATAGCCCTGTTTTTAAGATTTGTTTTTTAGTTCTGGTGTCCAGGCTAAAGTCATATCTGGCCTCCCACATTCCCATTTAATTCAACTGATTAAGTCTCTTTCAATCTGACCGGTGAAGAAACTTCTCCCTTCTCCACCTGATCTGCTGCTTAGAGGGGCTGCTGCATGTTCCCCAGGTGTGGTCTGTGCTTCAGTGGTGGAAAACCTACATGTGAACTGCTCTGAGATCCTTCAGGATACAAGATGCATGGAAATATATTAATTACAAAGGTTCTAGGCTTCTGTACATGTTAGATTCCTTTATCATACTAGAAATCATCACACTTTCTAAGAAACCTCTTATTTAGTTACTATTTCTGCACATTTTAATGCACAATTACTATTTATTTGCTCAATTTAACAGATTGGAAAAAAATAGTGAATGTGGCATGTGCAAAGGTTTGGGCACCCCGTTGATTCATTCATATTGTTTTGGGAGCAAGGCTTAAATAAGGATATTTCTGAGGTAAAAGAGTTCTGCAAGGAAGAGTGGGAAAAAATCCTAAAACAGGAACAAAAAGACTCTTAGCTGGCTACCAGAAATGTTTGGAAGCTGCCAAAGGAGAAGCCTGTGGTTGTTGAGAGGTTAGAAGGGTCAGAGTATTCAACTCTGGAACTGTCTTCAGCTGGCTTAATTTAAGGCCTAACGAGTCAATCACATTTTGAGGCCTTGAAGTCTGAATCAACTGCCCAAACTTTTGTACATGCCATATTCACTGTTTTCACTTTTCAAGTTGTTACATTCAGCACAAAAATAGTACTTGTGTATTAAAATGTGCAGAAATATGTCATGTTTAAGTTTGCACCCTTGCAGAGGTTGTATTAACTTCTTTTCAGTGAGAGATTCAGTGGCACATGCAATTTGACCAAGGGTGCCCAAACATTTGCATACAACTGTAGATTTTCTTTATGGACTATGTAGATTCTAGAAGATGAGTGCCAAACATAAAATTCTTGTCAGATCTTGCCTTTTAACAGTTTAGAATAAGTTTGTTTCTTATTAAGTACATTCTAGGCTAACAGTCCTGAACATTTCTTTCAGTTGTTGGTTTGTACCTCTGTTCAAATATGTTGGAGCTATTTAACTGTGTGAAATGACTGACAGAAAAGGATACATTTAACACATTCTCTGGCTTCAAAAATTCTAAAATGAAGTCCTTAAAAAACATTATGCCAGCAAAGGGGTTACAGAATCTGTGTTTTCACAGCTCCGTGCACAAGTGTGCCTTAAGCCATTGGCACTGGCACTAAAATTCAGCCGTGACAATGCTATGAATTTTAATTACAAACAGTTGTTAAGGTTATTCTAATTGTGTGATTAATGCGAATGAAGCACTGCATCAATTACAATCAGACATGAATGCACAGAGCTAATCCTGTCTGTGCTAAATACTACCGCTTGGACAAAATCCCTTTTCCCCAGTGTGAACGTACACTGCTGTGCAGGAGGAAATATCCACAATCAGCAGCACTCTGAACCTTCTAGGATTCAATCCCAGGACAGGAATTAGACTGACAGCCGGCTCTGGAAGCAAATCTATCTCTGATGGCAGTCTTTTCTTGCAAAGCTTATCAGAGCCAGTGCAAGGAGTGTTTAAATCTGGTACAGCAGTCATCTGCTAGAGTAAACATCAATTTCTGAAGCACTGAATTCTGACTGAATGACAGAGAAATAAAATGAAATAGCCCTGTGAGCCAATCTCCTTTTCTTGAAACCTGTCTGGCCAGGGCATGACGTCAGAGAAGAGGTCAGAGGTGAGATGGGCTGGCCTGGAGATGAGACCCCGATGGGTCCCAGGAGTGAAGAGGCGGGGAGAGGCGTGCCCTTACCTTGTCAATGGTGACCTCATCTACGTTTCCGGGCTTCGCCGACACAAACTCCACCTCAGATGACTGGAAAACATCAAGGAGGAAAAGCCAAATCAATCCAGGCGAGTCCGTGCTCCCCAGAGACCTTATACACAGGCACAATGTCTTCTGGAGTCCACTGTTTGTCCTTGTTCTACCTGTCCTGCCTTGGCTTTTGAGCTGAAACTGTGCCTTAATTAAAATGTCAGAGCAAGTTGTTAACAGTTGGACAAGTGAAGCTGATTTCACTCTGCAACTCCATCCATCCATTTTCCAAACACTCCATCCGACTCGGGGTCACCAAGGAGCCCATCCTGCCAAGCAATGGACGCAAGGCAAGATACTCCCTGGACGGTTAGCCAGTCTATAGCAGGGCACAGACAGAGAAAGACACGACCACACACCGGGGCCAGTTTTCCCAAGAGCCCATTACCCTACCAGTACTGTGTCTTTGAACAGTGGGAGGAAACCAAAGCACCCAGAGAAAACCCACGGGAACTTGGGGAGAACGTGCAAACTCCACACAGACAGCACCCCACATCCAGAACTGAATCCAGGGTCCCAACACTGTAAGGCAGCAATTCTAAGCACTGCGCCAGCATGCCACTCCAATGAGTGATAACAGTGGGGGAGATTCACTTACCTTCTTAAGGCTGAGTCAGGTGTGACTCGTTAGGCCTTAAATTAAGCCAGGTGAAGACAATTCCAGAGCTGAATACTCTGACCTTTCTAACCTCTCTGGACGGAGAGCCTACTCTCAACAATCACGGGCTCCTCTAAGCAGCTGACTGAGGGCTTGGAAATAAAGATAACGGTTTTATAAAGGCCACTGGTGCAATTTCTTCCTAACCAGTCAGGTCCCTTTTTTATATTCATTGCCTTTTCTCAGCCTGCTTCAAGGGGAGGACAGGGTTCTGAATCAATTCACAACACCTCTTCTCACATTCCTGTCTGAGGCAGGATGGAAAATGGCTTAACAGTGTCTGACTACACTGTAACAACAGATGCACTAGCAAGACATTTGCAAGGAAAATCAACAGGGCATAGAGCTGACTGATGGGCAATGATGTACATTGCTCTTGTAGCAAGGAGTGCACCGCCTGAGACGTCTGCTTCCATTTACTCTAATGCACAAACACCAAATAATTTAGCATTAAATAGAATTTTTTTTTTTTTACTATGAAAGCCAATGCCAAAAATAAACACAGGTCATTTTTCATTAGCCAACTAAATTATTCAGGGCACAAAAAATAACTACACATTTTCATATTTTCAATCAGAGCTGCATGCTCTAAGCAAATTTCTGTCCTGGTAAAGTAAATGGAAAAGGGTGACCTACAACTATTGCTTTGGGCTTGCAACCCCATAATGACATCTTGGGAGCCATCTTGCAATTTTAAACTGTAACCTTGCAAAGCATTAATAAAACCTTTTCCCTATTAAAAATCTTTTCAAGATCCCTTTGGTATCTTGAGGTCTATGCTTCTTCTGCTTTCGACTGCAAGCGTATTGATCCCAGATTCTCATCTGAAGTAAGCCCACAGAATCGGTCCCAATACATTTTTTAAATAAAAAGTGCTTGCCTTTATATAGTGTTCCCAAAGACGCTATATAAAGACACTGAAGGTCAGCCACCACTCCACATGACACCAGACTCCCACTGTGGACCCGTGCTGCACATGTGGAAAAGTAAGAAGCTGTTTTAACCGACCACAAAAATTGAAAGGACCGAATCGTTAGGACCCTGGTTCAACATCTCACATGAAGGACAACCCCTCCTACAGCAGGAGTTCCCAATCCTGGTCCTCCATTAGCCCACCCCTGCTGGTGTTCATTCAAGACGAGCTTAATTACCTCACTGAAGACTTAAAGGGGAACTGCAATGCTTTTTTAAATTTCGGGGTTAGAAGGAAATCAGCATTGATGAGTGCATTCCAAATCGCAATGAAAGTAAAATGTACACAGTAATTTGTAAAACCTCCAATGTACTTAATAAAATAGACTAACTTTCCAGGTACGCACAGCGTCACGTTCTGCGATTCAGAACGAGGCAACAAAACATCCGGTATCCTGATATGGCCGTACGACACTGTAAACAAGCAAGCTTGTGAATACATCTCCTTTAATCCAAGGGAAATATTGCTGTCGACTTTGAGATGGCTTGGCCAACAAATACTACTTACTTGTTAACTCTGTATACAGTTCACGTTGGAGCATTTCTGCTGTACAATCTGTATTTACTCACTCATAAATCACATTACATATTCATGGGAACTCGAATGCGAAATTGAGACAACATGGAGGCTAACGATACTCTCACAAAGTTCATGATTTTGTGCTTCATTTGAATTTTTTTTCTGTACCTTAAATGAATTAATTTTTTTGACTGTGAAATTGGGACTGCAGTTCCCCTTTAACAAAATAAACAGTTTGCTTGATTGCATGATATTTGAAACTCTTTTTTCTTATCAAAAGTTTGCAGTTTAATGTTACTTATAAAAATGCAACAGTTAGAAGACACATGTTAAACACTACACGTTTAAGAGCTGAAAAACGCGATAAAAGAGCTCAAATTCAGTCCGTTAATGGGTTCAACTGTTCAGCTGGGCTGCATCACAGACCTGCAGGAGTGTCAGCCTCCAGGACCTCTGGCCTACAGCCCAGTGCTTCCTGTCAGCATCCTGGAGCACTGGCTTCCAGCACCACTTCCAGCACTAACCTGGTCTTTGCTATAATTTGCAAACAGTTTGTCTCTGACTCCTTTGCATGCTTAAAAACTTAGAACCCCACAGCTAAAGGTTCAAGACGGTCATCGATAACAAAGAATCCAGAGCTCCATTACAAATCTCAACACCCTCTTTTGCTCCAAAAACCCCCAATGTCTGTCAAACCTACAGGGCTGATGAATAAAACATTTACATTTAGTTCCCCATTTACTTAATAGGAATAAAGCTGCAAAAAACTCACATTTTTAGAAACCCCCAAAAATCCCCAGTTTAAACTTTTATAACACTGAGATGCTGCAAACCGAGAACTGACAAGCACTTGTTCTCACCTCGCCCCCTGAAAGCTCTTCCTCTGTTTTAAGTTTCTTTTTCCTCTTCGTCTTCTTCACGGCTGCGAGCTCTTGACCTGCTTTCCTCTTCGTCTTCGGGGAGCTCGGTCCAGAGTCTCCCCGCCTTCTCTCCTTATTTTCCCTTTCCTGCTCCACCTCCTTCTCCTTCTCCTTCTCCCTCTTCTTTTTTCTCTTCTCTTCCCTGCTCTCCTGCGGGCCTTCCTCGCCCTTCTTCCTCTTCCTCACTCCACTCGAAGCTGCATGCGCCCGTTTCTCTCGCTCTTCCTCCTGCTCCCGTGCCTCGGCTTCCCGGACTTTTTTCTTTTTCTTCCCCATCTGCGCCGCCTCCTCTCCTGGAGTTACCCCCCAGCTCTGCTCCTCTCCAGCCGTCACCCCCTGCTCTGAACTCTCCCGTTTCCTCTTTTTCTTCTTCCTCCTGGGCGTTTCGCTCTCCTGAGCAGCCGGCGGCTCTTCCACGAGGTTCAGCTTTTCTTTTCTCTTTTTCTCCGTCTTTCTTGTCTCCTCTTCCTCAGGCTGCACGCTGGTTTCTCCCTCCTTGACCTCTCTGCCCACGGACGGCTTCTTTTCTTTCTTTTTCTTTTTCTTCTTCTTCTGCCATGTTTCTGTGTCTCCCCCCAGCTCCATGGCCTG